CAGGTGTTCCCTGGGTAGCGCTCCTTTACAAGACCTGCCTTGTGGCACCGAGCCTGTCTTTCCTGGTACAGAGGATTGCACTGGCTCTCACTGCCCAAATAGTCTGGTATTTTTACGTAAGTCCTTCCCAATTACCTGTCATTTGTCCCACGTACAACCAACCTCCACTGTGTTTCTTTAAAGTTTTTAGGGTTCAGAAGTCGTTGACGGAACTGGGTGTGGCCTGGACAAGGCTGGGCGAGTCCTGTCACATTTTCCTCCTAGCTCATCCCCGCCCGTTATTAGTAAGTAATTCCCTTGTGCCTGAGCCTCAAAGTCTTTATCCCAAGGTTACAGCAATTCTCAGCAGATTTTGGGACAGGGTGACCCAAATTCCATTTCCTCCTCCATTCCTTCTGCAGGTCCCCCACGGTCACCAAGGAGGACATTAATATCATCCACTTTCCATTTGTTATATCTGAATTTCATTTTTCAGTTTTGTTCTGTTTTTTGAGACAGGGTCTCTCTGTGTAGTCCAGGACAGCCTTAAATTTGCTATGTAGCCCAGGCTGGCTTGAAACTCACAATCTTTCTGCTTCAGTCCCCTGGGTACTGAGGTTACAAGCAGGTGCCACTATGCCTGGTTTCTGTCTGAATTTCTACCCAGAAACTTCTCCATTTTGTGTTAAATTGCTATTTGTTTTTCAGATTTGGAGTTTAACAAATGAAATTACTGAAAGCAATAACAGTAAAAAAAACAAACAACTTACTCTAATGATAATTGCTTGAGAAACAACAAATGTATGTGGATTACATGAACGAACGAGCGAAGCCTAACTCTGAGCCGTATTTATCATGGGCTAGAGAAGACGGAGTTCCATGGCGAACAATGAGAAAAGAATGGCTCAACATTACATTTCTGAGCATCTGTCCTCACAGTCACCACTGTGTCATCAGCAGGGAGCAGAGATGAGCAAGTAAGTTCCTGCCCTCGGGGAGCTCCTTGGGTAGTTGGTGACCAGATGCTCAGTGTGCCAGGGCTCAAACAAAGGGGTGTAGTACAAAGTGCTGTAGGAGCACATAAGGAAGTGACTAACTCTGCCTTTGGGCACAGGGAAAGTCTCACAGAAGCTGGGACATCAGGGTTGGGACTCCAGGACACACCCCTTCCCAGCATAAACCTGTCTCCAAGTTTGGGGACAATGTCTATCCTTGGAGAAGAGCTGGAATTAGGCTCTATGTCTGGTTTTCCAGATCCCTTTTCCCAGGTTTTTTTGGGGGGGTGAGTACTGGGGATTGAGTATATGACCTCCCATTTGCCAGGCAGGCGCTTAGGCCACTGAGCTAAATCCCCGGCCCATTCCCAGATATTTTTATGAGGAGGAAAGAGGGCAGGCATAGGCTTTAGAGACTGCTCTTTTTCTTCCTTCTCAAATAAAGACTATTGTCCTCTTTACCCAATGTGGGGGGGGGGGCAGGAATCCTGGTGAAATAGGTGGGTACTGGGCATATAGTCAGACTCAAAATTAAATGGTTGACCATGACGAAAGCTAAGATGAAAATCATACTGTACCAGGCTAGGGTGGCCCAGTGCAGGCAGCCCAGCCCACGTTGGAGACTTTCATGACTGCTGTTAGTTAGACTTGTTGTGTAGAGGTAAAACAGAGCATGTAGTCTGTTATTGCTTTAAGTTCTCTAAAGACAATGCAATCTCTTATGCTCCACACCCCAGGTGAACCTTCGGAGCTGCCACCCTTTTGTCACCAAATGAAAGTTTAGACAAAACCACATTTAAGACAGATTTGGGACTTTAACATGTTCTGGCTCTTGATGTGCGTAGCAGTGTGCAGGAGAGACTGAGGCTTTAATCTACAAATCCTGAGCCTTCCCCCAGGACACGGCACCACAGTGATCCTTCACACCAGGGCCAGTGTGGCCTAATCCTGTCTTCCCCTTAGATATGAACCCCTGGGGGAATAAACTAGGGGTCAGGAAAGGAGCCCAGGTATCTGAGGAATGTATGTCTTGAGAATGAGGAGCAGGTAGATGTGATACAATGTATGGCATTTCTTGTTTCTCTAGGACCACGGGGAGACTCTCAGAAAGAGAAACTCTAGTCTTTTTTGTTTTTGGTCTTTTTCATTTTTATCGGTACCAGGGATCGAACTCACGACTGCCTGCTTGCAAGGCTGGCGCTTATGCTGCTGAGCTAAATCCCTAGCCCCTGAGAAACTCTAGTCTTAAGGAGGCTGAGAAACTTTCCTAAATGACGACAGCAAGACATATATTTGAAACCAGAAGTATAGAGCCGTTATTTGATGCCAAAAAGACTCCTCCTGTGGTCTTTTACCTTGTCAGCTTGGGCAAGTTATTTGATCTCTCTGGGCCTCAGCTTCTAATTCTGAGGTGAGGATAACAGCAGGACCTTACTTATGGTCACGATGAGGACTAACGCAGTTAATATACGTCAAAGGCTGGACACAGGGACTGACAAGCAGGAAGGGGTGAGTAAATGTAATTCGTTAGTGGAAATTGAGTCCCATTACATTTCTCACATTTGATATTATTATCTTCCACTTTGCTCAGTGATTATTGTTCTCTGAATCTATATAAAATATTTAGGGAAACTCAAGTATCTCTAAAAGCATCTTTTCCTTAGAACTGTTGAGTTTTCCTCAGGAGCAGAGCATATTAAATTGGTAGAATTGTGTGCTATTATTTTTAGGAACACAGCTCACTATTTTTGCAGGAATGTGGTTGGGAGAGTGAGGCTCCCAAGCCTGTGCCATTTTGTTCTGTAGTTTCCAGCATTGCTCCTGGCTTTCTTTTTCTGTACACCAGCGTGTCACCTCAGAAAAATGGAGGTGACACACTGATGTGCAGTCTTGGTTGCATTCCTCTTTAAACTGCAAAATAATTGTTCCCATGTTATGAAAGCACCAGGTACTTGTAGCAAAAAACAGATTGTTTAAATGAAGAAAGACTCACCTCTCTCTGCTTGCCCGGAGATACCAGATGCCCTCTGTTATGCCTGAGCACACAGGCTTCAGGTCTTCCGCATCATGTACACAGCTTTTAAAACAAAAGTTGGCTCCACTGAACAACAGATCATGAATAACTTTCCTTAAAAATAAATCTGCAGCATCATTTTTAATAGGTAAAGTATTTAATTTCATACAATTCTTGCTTATCGTTGACCACACAGCTCCTTTCTGGGTCCTGAGATCTTCAAAAGGGCTGCTTGTGCACCAGCTGGTGGAGGTGTGGTGGGCACATCCTTAGCTGTGGCCACAGTATCAACTCATGTAAGTGATATCGCAGAGTCAAAGGCTTCTAACACTCTAAAGGATTAGGATGCACGTGACCAGTTAGTTTGTCCTCCTGGAAGACTGGCCCACTGAAGCTTTCATCTACGAAGAGATTTTTAAAAATTCTTTGCTAATTTATCAGGGGAAGAGAATCTTAGTTTAACTTACCCTTTTGAAAGTGAATTAGATGAAGTATTTAAAATATGTTTCTAACCATGTATAGTTCAGTTTTTCAGACCTGCCTGTCCATGTACCTAGTCTGCTTTTTGGACTAATTACTTTCTTACTAGTTTGTAAGCTCTAAGAGATTACTGATGCTGCTATATTTGGGGCAAGCACTATTTTGTATTTGACTATTTAATATTTTAAGTTTTCTTTAAATACATGAAGTCACATCTACCTTTCCCATTTTTAGTTTCAACCTTTAATTACTCTAAGAATAAAGAGATATTTATGTTTTCTTTTGATAATCTTTAGGGTTACATTTTAAAATTGAGATCTAATCAACATACTACAAAATTCTTCATTTTAAATGCAGGATTTAGTGATACTAGATTCACAGTGTGATGCGACCCCAGTCATTAATTCTAAGACATTTCTGTCACTTCCCAAAGAAACCCCATTCCCTTTGGCCATCACTCCTCATCCCCTCCTTGCCCCCAACTCTTGAAAAGCATTAATCTGCTTCCTGTCTCTACGGATTCACCTATTCAGGATATTCCTGTAAATGAAATCATATGACATGTGGCCTCTTACGTCTGGTATCTTTCATTCAGCATGTTTTTAAGACTCATCAGTGTTTTAGGAAAAATCAAGATTTTGTTTCTTTTTATAATTTCCTTTATATGGATATAGCACATGGGGTCTATCCATTCATCATTATTGTAATTTTATACTACGTTTTCTGGTAGGAAATAGTGTACCTCAGTGGTCCTCAGACGTCTGGTATCTCCTGGGAGCTTGGTAGAGATGCTAGTTTTCAGGACTCAGTTCAGACCCTCTCAATTGTGGTCTGACTTGGCTGTCTGGTCAACCAGCCTGCCTTTTGCTCTGCTCCACAATTGTCCGAGAACCTCTTGTATACTTATTACTCTTCTTCTTTTACATTGTTTTGGTCTTTATATATTTATTAATTTCTTAAGCTTAAGTCTGTTGATTTGTAAAGTAAATTCAGTAAATTGGTAAATTCTAATTTTGTAAGTTGTTCAAGTCTTGAAGTCATGTTTTATCCATATTTTTTTCACTATTAAGATCCAATTGTCAACTTGTATTTTAGAGCTTCCTCTCCTTTTTCTCTCTCACTTTTAAACTCAGAATAGAACTTTAGATCCAGATTATATTTTCCTCCTCCTCCTCCTCCTTCTCCTTCTTTCTTCTTCTGGCAGTACTATGGCTTAGACATAGGCCCTTGCTCATGCTAGGCAAGTGTTCTACCAATGAGCTATTCCCCTGCTCATTATTATCTGTTAAGAGATGGACTTCTTTTAAGGAAAAACGGCACAAGATTACATTTGATTTTATTTAAAAGTTTATCTGTTTTACCTGGTTTTAGTGCTCATAGTAATTTCCCTGGTTTTCTTCCTTCAATTTTCTTTCAAGCTCTCCTTACTGCAGAGCATAACAACCTCACTTCCCTGCCTGCCCTGTCACAGTACCCTTTGTCCTCACTGCCTCACATGTGTAGCTCATCCTCTGAGCTGCATAGTACGTGTCATCAGATGACAGCCACCTCACTGCCAGGGTGGCCCTTCTCTACATGGCTGCAGAGATGGCCAAAGTGGAATGGTGAGTGTGTGGGTGGGAGAGACAGGAGCACCCTTGGGAAGGAAGAGGACTCGCTGCCTGTTTTCCTGTGATGATAGGAAGGTACAAATATCTGTTCCCCTCTTTTTCATTGGTCTCTGTTTGAGAAGAGAAGCCATATTTTCCATGAGGTGACAACCACAGTTATGAAATTTCTCTTTAATACCTGTCATTCCAAGACACTGACCTTTATGAAATGGTTTTTGTTTATAGCACTAAAAAGAAAGTCTTTCCCCATGCTTTTGTGAGAAAATCAGTGAGAAGGTGAGAGAGGGTGTACAAGGGTGTGGTGGCTGCCCAAGTTGAGTGGCCCATTAATTGAGAGACCTACGTCTCAGGAGAGGATCTTGCATCTCAGGGTCAGTAGACTTGGCATTGCCTCAAACTGCATTTTGGTTTAAAGGTCACTCTCAAATGGAAGGGGTCTGAGACAGTAAAAAATGAAGAGATCTTTGGACTCTCAGAATGTTCTTGGCAAGAGGAAAGCTGAGATGACTCTGTAGCTGCAAACACAAATTATCCTCCATGGGAAAACAAGGAAAACCAGAGTCATGAGAATCTTTCCCGAGCAGGAAGAGGACTGAATCTTAATCAATGTGTTTCCAACATTTGCCCAGCTGGATTTCAGACATGCTCCCCATTCCTCTTTTGCCTCCTTTGGGATGGGAGCATTTGTAGTAATTGTGCTGTCCCACTATTAAATGTTGGGTGTGAGTAGTGCAGGGGGCAGTAACTGTGTCTCCAGCTCACGGATGTTCAGATGGAGCACACCTGTACTCAGGGATGCTTTGGAGAACTCTATCTGGGGAACCTCATCTACATGTGGACCTGACTTAAATGAGAGGATGTCAATATGACACTTGACTTTTGGTGACCTTGTGGGAGAAAAAGAAATAATTTGTGTCAAAGGCTGGGCTTTCTTGGTTTTAAAAGTATGCCCACAAATTCTTTCCTATAGTTTTTCCATGAAGAGTTGTCCTTTGTTCCCTTCTGCTTGAGTGTGGTCTGGACTTAGTGACTCATTTGAAATGGATGTATGTGGCAGTAAAGATGCTATGTGACTGTGGAACCTAAGTCATAAAAGATCAGCTTCATCCTTGTGTGTCCTTTAGGTCATTATGAAGTGTGAGCCAGTTGCTATGTTGTCAAGCAGGCCTGTGGGGAGCAACTGAGGCCTCTTGATGGCAACTATGTAATGAGTCCTGTCAGAAGAGGGCCCTGTAGGCCAACGACAGGGAACCTTTTAGAGCTTTCAGTGATACAAACAGCCCAACATGGCATGCATGCTATAGGTTGGTCATCACTGCTCTAGGCTCTGACAAGCCTTCAGAGGATGGCAGCTCCTTTCTGCATCTTGAGTGCAACCTTGGGAGAGATTGTAAGCTAGAACTCCTCAGCTGAGTTACTCCAAATTCCTGAGCAACAGAGGCTACTACATTAATAAAGCCCTGCTGCTTTGGCCATACATTTTGGAGTAATTTGTTCCCCAGCAATAGATAATTAATACATGGATACATTGTCCTTCTAGCAGAGCTTGATTCCTGACACATATTTATTTTGGGATCCAGGGTAAGATATCATTAGAGAGTGAAATTGGCAGAAATTTTCTTAGGCAGGGGTACCTGTGTCAAGGTATCTTAATCATCTTTACAGGAACCAGTTCACTGAACCCCGGACCTTCCCATAGGCCCCCTTTCAGTAATTATTGCTCCAAGGGTAGACACTATCTTGCTAACAGCAAAGATTAGTTTTTCCTGGATTTGTACTTTAGGTAAATGGAATCATACTCTTTTGTGTTTGGCTTCTTATATTCAACATTGTGCTTATGCGATATATTCAAATTGTTGCATGTAGTGGATTGCTCATCATAATTACCCTGTAGTATCCCATCAAGTGAAATCCCACAATTTATTTACTATCCAATCTACTAGTGCTGGGCATTTGGATGGTTTCCATTTTGGGGCTATTACAAATAGTCTAACTATGAACATTTGAAGGGAAGTGTTATACAGATGTCTAAAGATTGACAAAGGAACATATAGACTTACCTTCCACAGCTTACCTTTCAGGCCCAGCAAAGAGGAAGATAACTGAAACAAATATTCCTAATAATCTGAATCACTCTCTGAGTAACTTCTTCTAAGAGACAGCATGAAAAGTTGCCCTAAAAATCACCCATTTCAGCTTATTCTCTGACTGTTCACTCTGACTCTGCAAGGGGAGACCCTGATCTCAAGCTCCAAGACTGCAGGCCAAGATGCAGAGCAGACCTCCATCAACACCAAGGAGACTCTCAACAAACAAGCCCAGGGACCATGGAGGACTTCCTGGAGGGAGGGGCGTGGACAGGAGACATACAAGGAGGCTCAGAGTTGGGAACTAGATGAAAATAAATAAAGGTCACAGGGCTTGGCATTCCTTATAGGGAAACCACATCATCAAAATGACTTGGAGAATCTCGAAGGGGGAAAGCAAGTCTTTATTCTAGTGCAGACCCACCAATATTCATTTAAGCACATAGGAACTGTTTTCTACAGAAACCCCCCCCCCCGCCAAAAAAAAACAAAACAAAAATTCCTCACTTTACATGGGGCTTGCTTTCTTTTTAAATAAAAGTTATTTTCTTAAAGATTAGGATGCTGAAGGAGAAACTTGATTTACATTAAAGGCAGCCACACTCATCTATCCAAGGACTTCCTGATCCATGTGGAAGTCACCTTCCCACGCTGGCCTGGGATGAGCCAACTCCGAAGGAGTTGCACTGCTGTGCACATGGAGCGGTTGTGAAATGGTTAAGCAGCACATTCCTGGGAATGCTTGCCTCAGGAAGCTTGGTGAAGTTGATGATATCTGCATGGTGGGGGAGACATTTTCAAGTTGTTCTCAACCTGGAAATCATTCCTTTCACTGAACAAACAGATGCTGTAAAACCTCCCTCAAGGCTGTAGTGGTGATCCGAGATGCAGACTGTTGAATGAAGAAAGTGTTTATGGGCAAAAAGTGCTTGGTACAAAGACAGTGCCCTGAGCCAGCCATGTGGTGGTATTGTACATTGTGTGCACAGGTCTGTGCAGTAGCCAGCAGCAACAGGTCTACCCAGGGTACAAACTGTATTGATGAAAGATGCACTTAAAGTGTGAAGTCTGAGCCACCAAAGGCAGAGAGAGCTCACTGCTACTGGTATGAAAGCAACGAACAAGGGTGCATTGGGGTCTCCCATACAATCTCGCAGAATGTGGCATAGTGTTGGGGTAGAAAAGAACATGGGTTGGTAGAATTCTAAGACAAAGAAGGTTCAAACAGTGTGTAAAAAACGTTTCCTTCCACATATGGTCAAGAGCCTCAGTGGGGGGCAGCAGCAGATCGAAGCTCAGAACCCCCATTGTTACAGCGCATACGTACATACAGTTACACACTCTGCTTGCTCTAGAAGGCACACTGTACAAGATTAATTCAGCTCTGTAGTATGAGGTATGTGAATGAAACAAGCCCCGTAGATAAAAGAGACCAAATGGTGTGATTCTTCATGCTGTCTTCAAAGTCCTGACAAAGCTCTGTCTCAGTAGATTTCTGGAAAAGATGGTCTCTGCCAAGTGGTCCCTGGTGCAGACAAGTGTCTGTGAGAGTTGCTCTGGTCCAAGAGTGAAACCTTCAACAGGGTGACCAGGAAAACTTGTGGTTTCCTCCAGGATGTGTTCTAGCTGTCAAAAGACCAACCCACAAAGCACTGTGTGTTTACAGAATGTCATTCTGCCAACAAGTGGTAGAACGTGTGGACAGTGAACTTGACCACCAAAACGCAAACATCTGCCCTTCTTACATGTGGAAGAAGCATGTCCTCTCCCCCCTACTTTTAAAAAGGCATTTTAAAAGTCACTTATGGAGTCATGTCTTGTCCAGGTCCTCTTGGAAATGCTAAACCCCACACTCCCCACTCTAAGCCAAACAGCTCTATAGTTAGGCTTTTTCTACGATGCCCTGTCTTATCTCAGCTTGGCCTTTTGCAGATGGCAAACCGGAGGCAAAGAAGCTGCAGGTTCTCCCAGGGCTTCTGGAGGGTTACTGCTGTGCCTGGCAGAGTGGCCCTGGTTCTAATTCCTTCTTCCGGTCTCTGCCATTAGCACTGATTCCTTTCTGGGCTAGTGCATTTCCATGGGCCCCCAATACTCAAACCCTTCTCTGTAGTTGCCTTCACATCTAAAAATAGAAGCAGGTAGCAAAGCATCTCATTTTCCTGCAAAGGTCTGTCCCTTTGCTGAGGTTAGTCGGCCTCGGATCAGGTCCTCAAAGCAAGGGCTATCCAGAGAAAGGGAGAAGGACACAGAGAAAGAGAGAGACAGTGAAAGAGACGGAGAGAGAAGAGAGAGAGATGTTGGTTGGGAAAAGTGGGGGGCTGTGTCCACTGATTCTCGTGACAACAGCTGCCAAATTTAGACACGGGCGTCAGAATACTTAGTAGGGTTTAATCCTGTCTCCTGCGGCCTTTTCTCTTGGTATTTCCTGAGGACAGAGTGGGGCCTGCAGTGACTAGCTTTGGGTCTGACTAAGCGTTTTCTTCTGAGAGAAGCAAGCTGTGACGAGGGCCTCATTCCTGGATGAGCGTGAGACCCAGGGAGAGGCAGTGCAAGGATGTGCACTGGGGTGCTTGGCCCCTGGCCGGGACATCCCACAAAGAGGGGGAGACCCTGAAGGCAGGTGGCTTGCTATTTACTTAACTGCCAGACACTGATAGGCTTCAGAAACAAGAACAAATGCAAACACTCCCACCCCTCCCAGAGCTAAAGACACAGTCTTTTCCTCTAGGAATGTGCTCTTCTCTAGTTGTGAAATATCTGTAGGAAGAGAAGCCCCCTACATGCCGAAGTACATGGGTGTTACAAAATCCCTTCATCTGAACCTTGACCTTGGGTCTCCCATGCAAGTGTGTGGCAATGTACAAAATTTCTGTTTGTGCGAAGTGAGATAGTTGCTAGGCCAGTAAG